AATAATAATAAAAAAAAGAAATCACACCAATTCCGCTTTTAGTTCGTGTTTATTTCTTTTTATAAAGTTTTTACGCGGGAAAATGCAATCCTGTTCAATAACAGTCGAGACGCTTCTCTTAGTAGAATAAATTTTATTTTTACACAATCGAAGAGGAATTTAAAAAGGATGGATTCGGCTGTGAGTTTCACTTAATTATTGAATAAACGTTCTTTGGCTGATTCACACCGGACGTGACGTTTCTTTTTCTTTTCTTTTCTTTTTTTTTTTTTTTTTTGCAGTGCGTTTTCAATTGCGAAAGGTCCGACTCCGAGCTGCTCTCGAGTTGGTTATGATATATTATGCAGCTGTTTCCTACGGTCGAGTTCTAATTTATTTTGCTTAGATTACGTCAGAATGTACATGTGGGCTGGTCGTACCGTTTCCACGCATATATACATGGCTAGGTAGAACATAACCGCTATCAATGTTAGCGGTCAACTGGACCAGCACACCGTCTGCAAATTCTCGATCATCGAGTTCATAATCCATCAAGTACATGTAACATCACATCTTAAATACAAACGCCGAATACGGTTAAGTACAATTCTAAATGTTAAATACTTCAAAATGAGTTTATCTCTAATGATTTTGATTCTACATATGAAAACATACGTCAATAAATCATAAAGATCAACTTGGACAGTTTTCTTGATACATTTTATTGGTGTGATTATGATTTTTAACATAGCTTTAACATTTTTTTCAGTCATATTGCTACGATGTCTGCAGTGTGGCAGTTTATAGTGATGTCTAGCACTGGGGCATTATGCCGCAGACATGTAGCATGATGTCCCACCCAGTCACATTATCCTGACACCAGGCCGACCAGTCCTAACACTAACCTCTTAATGCTGAGCGTCATGCGAGGCAGCTGTTAGTACCATTTTTGTAAGTCTTTGGTATGACTCGACCGGGGATAGAACCCTCGACCTCCCGTATCCGAGGCGGACGCTCTAACCACTAGGCCACCGGAGCGGTTATATTGGTAACAAGAAAGCAAGATAACGTTGATGATTTGTCAACATTACCATTCGACCACACATGTCTTTAGTTCTGGGTATGATAAAAAAAAAAAACGTATGATCCAGACTAGACCACCTTTATGATGTGACGTTTAGATCCATCAAAGCCACATTCAAGAAACAAGTTGACCATTTGGTAAGTGTACGAAGTTTATGTGTTTCGCTGAATAATTTTCCTCGAATCTGGCCTAATGAAATTACTACAAGTGTTGGTGAAGGCACATTTGCGATCGTTTCATCTATGTATTGTCTTGTAGCATCAGTATTCTCAGCATAATTTTTAATAGAAGAGACCGACATGTCATAGTCTCTCATTCCACATATTTCACTGATTTTCATGAGGTTTTTACGTCTTAGTATCATGACTTCAAAACATCTTGAATGTCCACGTTAGACGTTGAAAGTTTTCAACGTTGATCTTAAAGAACCACAGGTTCACCAGGATCGATGTCAATAACAACCCGGCTGGTCCACTCAGTCAAATTAATATTTATTTTGGTGACAAACCTTATTAGATCCACATCAAGGAACTGTAGCGTTCGTAAATGTTAAATATTCGTTCCGTATATCATTAAGCGTATTTTCTAAGTAACAAGGTAAATCAACTAGCATGCTTGGTATTGGTGAACGCTCGAGTACAGACAACAATTTAACAACAAAATCTTCACATATTGATATATCCTTCCGACGTTTGAAACAATACAACAATGGTAGTTGTCCAGCGCCTCCGGCTAAATTATCAACAACTTCAAAAAATGGGTCAAGCCCATATGAGTCAAAGTATAAAAGATGTAGGGGCATTACGACGTATACGTCGCGATGAGTCCAGGGTTCTGTTCATAAATCCAGATTAACAATGCCGATTTCTCTCGTGCGAGGAATCATTGACGCAATTTCATACTGCATAAATACACATCGGAAAAAATTGAATGACTATGTCATAGCGAGAAAATCAAAATTGGTTTGTGGATGCTCTTCAGTTATCAATGATTATGCCGTTTGCGAGTCTTCCTGGGTAGTCGGATACCTCTGCGAGTCGTTTCAGGTAGCCGAAGACCTTTTCCACCGATCACTTTTTAGAGCCATCCTGGATGCAATTCCGAAGGCCCCTAACATAGTCGCTTTTGCAATCGTCGGTGTCTCAGTTGATAACAACGCTGGAATGTCCACAAGTGATGGAAAAATTCCACTAGGGTTTACAGTTGTTCGCCTTCTGACTTTAATGTCACTGAGGTGTTTTTTCTTTTCACTTGGGCACGTGTTTTTTCTCTTAACAAAACCTCTCATCCTTTAACAAAATATATGTGTATGTATGTCTGTGTATGTGGTTGTATATGCACGCATTCGGTTGTGTGTGTGTGTGTATTTTGTTTGTGTTTGTTTCGTTCCCTTAACCCCCCCAGCTATTGTCTCTGCTCAATGTGTTTGTTTTGTGTGATTGTGTAGTGTGACTATCACCCACTAACTCTTTTGCTGAGGTGACTGTAGGTAATTGTGTGTTTGTAGATAAAAAAAATTCCCTTCTCCACAATGTATTGATAGTAAATAAATTGGATTTTGTTAGTATCATTATGTTGTTTTGTATATAAATCTATTTTAAATTAATTCTCTCATCACTATGGATTGTTCGATATTTGATTCTATATCTATAAAGTTATATGTCCCGCTCAGCAAGGCAATGTATAAAATTATATGTCCAGCCCTTTCAAGCATAAAAGCTGTTTTATTTGATTCCGCTGTACTGTTTTGCCCGATTGAGGTCAGCCACAGGCAACATTGTTGCCAGTGTCCAGTACTGTGACGTCAACTACCTGTTCCATTTCCCTTGTCGCTATACAGATCCTGTATTTTTTGTCGCTATACAGACCCAGTATTTTGTCACAATACATTCCCTATGTTAAATTTTCATTGTCTACAAAGTACCGGGACCCAGTCTGTATATGTGTGTGTGTATTTTTGTTAGTGTGAGTGTGTGTTTATGTGTATGTATGTACGCGCTTATGTATTGGTCTTTCTTTGTATTTATAAAACTCCCTTAATCCCTAACCAATTCATTTCACCTACTTACCTGCATGCCGGTCAGCCACTTGCAACTCACATTATTCCCTTAGTGTCCACTACAGTGACACTATTGAAGCTAGAAAATTTGAGGTTATAAATGCAGACTTAGGATTTTCCGATGGGAATTTACACACGCCGAAGCTATAAATAGATACATTGGTATTTATCCACGATCGTCGCACAAACTGAGACTATAAATAGTTACTAGGTTTATCTATTTTAGTCTAAACCAATGTAACCTAATGTTCAGTCATATGTTTAACCTCACTTAAATTCTAGGATAATTTAGTAATTTTAGCATTACTTTTAGTCACATTCGTTTTGGCATTGTTCTTTTCCCTGAGTATAGCTATTTAGAGCATTATTAAAATTATGCAAATTTATGAACACCGCAAGCATAGTTTCAAGTCTAAGTAATTCTTTATATATAAATCTCGGGCTTGCAGCGGTATATATTTGTCTGTCTGTCTGTCTCTCTCTTGTGTTTGGCCATGTACCACTCTTATCCATAGACAAACTCTTTACTATTTCCCCATTCTCCCTAGAGATTCTCATGTTCATTTCCTATGTCCCGAGACAGCCTCAATCCATTGTCGCTATATAATTCCCATTGTTCAAAATCACTTGCTTCTATACAGTCCAAACCTATGTTAAAATTACCCTTGTCCGTATGCAGGTCCAACACCTAGTCACTATTTTCCATTTTCCCTTGTCGCTAAACAGTCACATCCCGGGACGCTGCTACCCATGTTAAATTTCTCCATGTTAAATTCCACTTGTAGACAGGGTACAATCCCCGCAATTTAGCATAGCACCATTCACTACTAACAGGAAACACATATATGGTCATTTTTATTCTCCCTTATGAAATATGATTATATATCAGTGATTTACTTTATTGACCAAATCAGCATATTCAGTGTTTCCCAGAAGGAAGTCATAAAATCAAAATTATTATTTTCCCTTTGGATACTTTAAAAAGTCACCCTCAAAACAAAAGTTGAGTATGTGGTAGTTTAACCCTCTGAAATAATGGTATCAGCTGTACCGATCCAGGAATATCGTTTGGTGGTGGTGCTGGTGGCGGGCTTAAATATGTAAGCATGAGATCTGTAGGTTGAAACCCTAGTGGGAGACCAGGGGAGAATTTCTTGGAAACTCTTGCGATTCTAGGGCATAAGTTTAACTATCTAGATAAAACAAATTTACTATATGAAGCATTCCAGTGCTTAACTTGTTTCACGCTTATTTTTTGAGTGGGGAAGGGTCTTGCGTCCATTCTGACCCAACACCTATCCAGGCATGGAGGGTCCTCTCCTGTTATTTTCAAGGAAAAGTTTTGCCATCATGCATAAATCTTTAAGTCTTGATTAGAATTTCTCCTAAGGTTAGTTAGCTCCATTAAATTGGAAAAAGGTACAGCAAAATGTAAACTCCAAATAAATATTAGACCAATTTCATGAATTTGCTGAATTGCAAATCGCAAGTACATTCTAGTTTTCTCGTCAACTTCGTATAAATTTCGAATTACATCATATTTCCTGATTTGGATTTATCACACACAACTCAGTTAAAGGCATGCACTGTCAATCCCCTGATGATTAGATAATTTTGTTAATTCATTCAGGAGATTCATATTCAACCTGGTCACATCCTAAACCCACCCTTCTATTTTTACTATTTTGGTTTAAACTCGTTCGATCATGAGCAAAAAAGAATGTTTTCGTTTAATCGGGTGATGCAGCTATAAATACATCAATTACATTTGAACTACATTGTTTGGGGTAGGTTTTTTTTTTTTACACAATTTTCCTTCTGGGAGACATTAAACTCACCCCAACCACACCTTTTTATCTGTTTTCTCTTCTTACCACCGTTCCGGTGGCATAATGGTTAGAGCGTCCGCCTCAGATACTGGAGGTCGTGGGTTCGATCCCCGGTCGAGTCGTACCAAAAACTTACAAAAATGGTGCTAACAGCTGCCTCGCTTGACGCTGAGCATTAAGAGGTTAGTGTTAGGACTGGTCATCCTGAAGTCAGGATAATGTGACTGGGTGGGACATCATGCTACATGTCTGCGGCATGATTGCCCAGTGCTAGACATCACTATAAACTGCCACACTGCAGACATCGTAGCGATATGACTGAAAAATTGTTAAAGCTACGTTAAAAATCATAATTACATCAAATCACATCACCTTTTCATCAGTATCTTTGGGGTAAAAATATTTTTTTCTTATTTGTGATTTTTTTGTTACCTTTTTTTTGTTTTTAAAGAAATTGATTATAAATTTCAAATGCTTCAGTCATTTTGTTTGTCTGTGTTTCACTATCTGCAATTTCTTGATAACTACATTCTGAAAATACGAAAAGGCCCACAAAAAACATAAGTTGGTCTAGACATTTAGCAAATACAGCAGGAGCAGAGAAGAGTGATAAATAATTATCGCACGTGACAAAATGTAAACTACTTACTTGTGACAGGCTCCGATGCGGACTAAGAGTGTTGACCAAAACGTCTTACATCTTGCTTCCTAAACCGGTCAGGACCGGTAAAAGATATGATGCACAACGCAGTTCATCCACATAAATTACAATACAGGTAAACTTAAGAGATCGCCCGTAAAGGTTGAATCAGATCTCTATGATATTAGAAACAAGGTGAAATACATATGTAAATATATGTCGGTAGAAATCAAGTGAGTCTGTAAAAATCAATGCTAATTTTTTTCTCTCCAATTTTAGAGGAGATATTTAGCAAAATTTGTGATTCTCTGTGTTTTCCTAATTAACAAATCAATGTATAATCCTCAAACCTTCTTGGTGAATGTTTAAAGTAAATGTGCTCCCTTGTTTCCTGAAAGTATTTGTTCTTGTTTATTTATTTCAAAAACTGAATATCCAATGTCCCGATAAATGATCTCATAAACTTTGTCTTTATTTCGTTACAATAAACTTTGTCTTTGTTTCATTACAATATACTTTGTCTTTGTTTCATTACAATACATTTTGTCTTTGTTTCATTACAATATTATCGAAGATCCCTTCTTCTGCACATCTCATATGAGGGCTTCTGTCATATTCGTGGTCAGTTACTCTATAGATGAAATCATAGATGCGCTTTTACCGAATAATTGTGTTATCCGAAACGTTCCCATGGCAACAAATGTAATTGCTTCCTTTTTTCGTTAAATATTTTATTTATGGACAAAATAGTACATTTTAGAATTTCTAGGATGAACACTACCTTTATTTTATTTTAATATATCTTTTACGACTTTCAAAATAAAAAATGCTGCCCATTACTTATTATTATTATTATTATTATTATTATTATTATTATTATTATTATTATTATTATTATTATTATTATTATCGAATTTATAATATTTTTACCATTCATTGTTTTTGTCCACAAACATAATTTTGAGGACATAAAAACCACACTTATAATTACTCACCCAAACTGGCATAGCTAAACAGTTTAGAAATTATTAACAAGTCTTCATTAGTATTTCACCATTACTCTACCTCCCCAACCCCAACCACTGTACATATTGTGAATGTTGTTAACTTTGCAGGTAACGTTGAGTTTTCGCTACGGACTATGTCGTTCCAGCCACTTTGGTTCGGTGCTTGTTAGGCCCGATAGTCCCTTCTTTAAATTAGAATTGTATTTTTACACTCTTTTAGACCGTTTATCTTTTTCTTTTTATATTTTATCTTTTATTTGTATATTCAACGTCATTAAAACTTGTAGGAGCGAAGAATTTCTATTGGCTTTTGTATTTGTGTTTGTATGGTGTAAATAAAGTGTTCCTTCTGCTATGTCTTGTGTAAATAAAGTGTTTCTTCTAATAGCAAAGAACATGTTTAGCTCAAAAGTTGGAAAACTTGTATTTGCGCGTTCTCTCTCTCTCTCTCTCTCTCTCTCTCTCTCTCTCTCTCTCTCTCTCTCTCTCTCTCTCTCTCTCTCTCTCGTATTTACAAACTTTACATGGCTGTTTCTACAGGAATTAAACCTTTAAATGTATTATAGTTCAAATAGTTTATTTCAACTTATTGCGAATGCTGAAAAATATTTGTATTAACCTAGAAATTGATAAGCCATAACGACAGCTGGTATTTTTGTACATTTATATAAACGCAAATTACATCCCGGATATTTCATTGTTATTGTAGTAATTGTGGGCTATTAATAAAATTATCTTTTGCAGCAGACACATTGCACTTTTGATCGCGTATGTCAGGGATTGATTAAGATTAATAAAATTATCTTTTGCAGCAGACACATTTCACTTTTGAAAAATTCTCTAAATTAGCTTAATAGCCCACAATTGCTACTATAACAATTAAATATTTAGGATGTAATTTGCGCTTACGTAAATGAACAAAATTATCTGCATTTGAAAAGGGCTAGTTTGATACTAGTTTTGTAATGTCGGTTGTCAGTTTATTACATTTATCTTAATCCCTGACATACGCGATCCCTTGCTGTGCTGGATGCAACGCACTTGAAAGGACTGCTATTCGCCATATGATATGATATGATATGATATGATATGATATGATATGATATGATATGATATGATATGATATGATATTATATGATATGATATCAGTCAGTCCATTTTTAGCTGTGCGCCTTCTATTCTGTCCATGTGTCTGTCTCTCAATTTATCACATTGATTGCTTTTAAACCTGCAGATTTGTGTGTGTGTGCATGTGTGATATTTGGAATTTTAACGTAGCTTTAACAATTTTTCAGTTATATCGCTATGATGTCTGCAGTGTACCAGTTTATAGTGACATCTAGCACTGAGGCACAATTGTTCAGTCATATCGCTATGATGTCTGCAGTGTGCCAGTTTATAGTGACATCTAGCACTGAGGCAATTTAGAACAGACATGTAGCATGATGCCCCACCCAGTCACAGTATTCCCTGACACCAGGCCAACCAGTCCTAATACTAACCCCTTAATATTGAGCGACCAGTGAGGTAGATCCTAGTAACATTTTTATATCATTGGTATGACCTGGCCGTGGTTTGAAACAGCGCCCTCCCGCAACCTAGGCGGAGAATCTGATCACAGGTCACGAAGCAATTTTTACACCCTGTAATTTATAAACTTACGTGTAGATTTATTTGATTTCTATCTCTCTGTATGGAATATCAATCAATATGAGATGTATTAAGTCAATTTTTTTTAACGTACTGGCAAATAGATTCAAATGGATATCCAGAAATAAGTAATTGGCTGATTACGGTCTTGTGATAATTTATGTTTACTGTATTTTTTGTCATTGCAAAGTAAAAAAAAAGAAACATGAACAAAAGAAAAAAATGGCATGTTTTATTTTATAAGACTACACAGCCTCTTTCACAATTAACCCCATTAATAAATCAATCAATGGACTTATTTGTCCGTTCTTTGAGTGGAGTAGTCTTATAGGTCTGTGGATGTTTGTAATGATTTAGTCAGTATGACATTTGTGTTTTTGTATACAAGCGTTGTATAGAAATTTAAAGAAGTTGTTTACATCTATCCCTATAAATAATAGCGTAATTGACACATGGTATATTACAGCCTTTTCAAGCGTACAAGCTTTTTAAGCGTCAGCAAAGGATCGCGTGCGTCAGAGATTAATTATGATGAATGTTTTCACTAACCTTCTTTTGATGAACGTTGGCAATGAATAGTTTCAAAATATTTGTTAAATTTATAAATATATGCTCCTGGTGTCAGCTTATCCGTAAACTTGGAAGAATCCCACTTATATACACTTTATTGCAGAGTTTTACTGACATGAATAATCAGACGCATTCATGGTACACATTAAACATTGTCCATCAGTTACGATTCAGACGTTCCAGTCAAACAGAATTAATAAAGACAGGGGATCATGAAGATGTTATTGCTTCGTATCATTTGTGTAATTATTTTTCGTAGTAATTTTTTTTGCTTGCAGAATATAAATATCATGCACTTTTCATTTGAAAGCAACATCAGAATCTTAAAAAAAGTATCTATTGACCCTGGTTAGAACACCGGCGTAAAAATATATCTGTAGTAAACAATTTTATGACTATGACAACACAAATTCCGTTTTTGTTGTTCACTGAGTTCTATTTGTCGACAGGGAAAATGCGTACAATTTTTTATATAAACACATCAGGTATGTGTGCGTTTAAGGTGAGAGATTTTGTTTTTGTACATATTATTGTATTATACGCCTGCGGTGTTTATTATCAGGTAAAAATATTGAATCTAGAATTCCAGTCACGCATAGCTTACTTATCTCTATCATAAGATATACAAAGATCAGCAGGATGATTGGTTTTAATGGAGTTTAACGCATTATTGGTTATATGTTGGTTTAAAAGGCATTTTAAGACAGTCTTGGCGGTTTTGTGTCCAGGAAATGGGAACTAAATGCCGTTCCAAAGGACACTCCGATGTGGGTGGGTGTCTGAGCTACAGTTGGTCCTATAAGCAAATGCAATGCATTGAAAGATAACTAGTGCTGCATAAACATTTGAATTGCAAGACCTATTGCCCAATTTGATCTTTTGTGACCTGCCTGGCTCATCGCCCAATTTGATATTTTGTGACCTCCGATTTAATAACAAGTCTAAACTGTTGCTGATTTGACTTCATTCAGTAATCAATACATATACCTGATTAGCATAAAACAGCCATTTACTGTATTGCTTCGTTTAAAACAATTACATATTGTCGGAAAAACTACAATCTAACACCCAAAATCTTGTATCTTACATCGTTTGGAAAACTGAATGGCCCAAAAGTGTCTCATAATAAGCTGATAACAGCATTTAAATATTTTCATAAACGTACATGAGCAGCAGCATAGTTGTTAAAAACTGAAATTAAGAATTGCATATGTTGAACAGCAGTAGAAAACGTGTACAAGAAAATGGACCCGAT